TCCTGTGCGTTGGGTCTGTGAGTCAAAGAAAAGGCCCCTGTCCCAGGGAGTGACAGGTGGTAATTAGACTGAGTTGGGTGGGGAGGTTTGTCTCAGTCCCCACTGTTCCCGGAAACCGCTGTTCTCCTTGGAGCAGCCGCTGGGAGCTGGGGTGTTTATTTGATTTCTGACTTGCTAAGCCTGTAATTTACCTGCTGGAACAGACAGAGTCCAGCTGCCCGAACTGTGCCATTAAAAGCAGATCCCGGGCCCGTCCCCATCCACAGGCACAGCCCAGCGAGGTGGAACCACCCGTGTGCCCAAGGATGCGCGTCTCTGGAGTTCACACGCTGCACCCCAAGGAGGGGCCTCGGAGGGCGGGTCTGGCAGCAGGGGTGGAGGCTGGGGCCATGCTGCGGGACAGCAGCCCCTCCACCTGGACCAGGGAGGGCCTCCGTGTATGAGCGCAGAGGAAGACGCCCTCCCATGTACACGAGGGTGGGCCTGGCTGTCTGGAAGGTGGTGAGCTCCCCATTAGCCTAGGGCTTCAAGTGCAGGCTGGCAGGGATTGGACAAGGCCCTGGCCTGAGTGTCAGGAGACCAATATTCTGGTTCCAGCTCAGCCACTGGCTTGGTGTCAGAACAAGTCCCCTTTCTTATTCACGCTTCAGCTTCCCATCTGTGCCACGAGCACACAGGACTCTTTCATTCCAAAGGCCTTGCTGGCTAGAGAATCTGTGCGGCCCGGACCCTCTCCCCAGGCCTGAGAGCCCCAGTGGCACGGGCCATGGAGCCCACCTGCCATTTCAGGACCTAATGTAACCGCTTTCTCCTCCCAACATCAGGGGCAATGGGGGTTTGGACACTATTGGACAAATGTCAATGTTTGGTCTCTTCACTGCCCGGCACATAACCTGGTATGGTTTGGGGCCACCAGTAGTTTGGGAAGTGAATGTTTTGACGATGCACCAGCCTTGCCCACCAGGTATGCAGACCAGGCACGTGAGCATCAAGACGCGCCTCCCTTTTCAAGCTGCAAAGCGAAGGCATGGTCACAGCCTTCCTGACGGCCATCCAGACAGCACCAAATGACATCAAACAGAAAAAGCCTCAGAGAAGGGAGGTTATCATGGACACAAGCTGAGGAGGTCAGTGCTCAGTTACCAAGGCCACCTTGCTGGTCCGGCCGCATCTGGCAGCGCAGGCTGCATTCAAGGCTGCATGTTAGAAGTGTAAACGAGGGCAGTCCACTCGGGCCACTGACCGCGAGACGCTGGCACTGACAGGGAGGACATGAAGGGCCGCATCTGCACAGCTGACGGCAGGTGAGCAGCAGTCCTGCTCCTTTGTCTCTGCAGGGAGGTGGGCATGCGCCATAGGATGATCCCTACCATTTCACTGGGAAGGAGGCTGTGAACAGGAGCGGGGGCGGTGTAGAGCCAAGCAGAGCTGGCATCATGTCCCGCTCCGCCTCTGACGACATCACACACCCTCTGCGCCTGCTCCTTCCTCTGGAGACGGGGGTACCTGCCTTTGCAAGGCCTCCACGGGGTCAGATGTGCCACAGGGCACTTGGCACCATGCCTGCACAGACGTGTGGAATAAACAGCATCTGTGCGCAGTCTCATTTTAAACGGACTTGCAAAGTTGGGCCTGCCCTGCGTGGCTTCCTGTTAAAACCCACTCCCGGAATGTGCCCTGCAGGTGCTGCTGTATTTACTAATACCTCAAAGCTGTGCTTTTCCTAAAAAAATCAAAACATGGTCGTCTCTTGGGATGAGGTGTGACCCTGCACCCCACCTGCCGTGGAAGGAGCCTGGGCCTGCGGAGACCAGTGCACTGGGCTCTCTGCTGAGGCAGTGGCAGGTGTGTGGCCCTCCTCCAGCCCGACAGTATCCCCACAGCAAGCTGAGGGGGAACTTTCTATCCAAAGTTTCTCTTCTTACTGGAAAACCTTAAGCAAGCATTTGGACTCCCCCCTTTTTTAAGCTTTTTTAGAAAATATTATGTGTGCTGGCGAAAATTTTGATAATAACAAAAAACAGAATACAGGCTGGGCGCGGTGGCTCATGCCTGTAATCCTAGCTCTCTGGGAGGCCGAGGCGGGCGGATTGTTTGAACTCAGGAGTTTGAGACCAGCCTGAGCAAGAGCGAGACCCCGTCTCTACTAAAAATAGAAAGAAATTACTTGGACAACTAAAAATATATAGAAAAAACTAGCCGGGCATGGTGGCGC